ATAGATAGATAGAGAGAGAGAGAGAGAGAGAGAGAGAGAGAGAGAGAGAGAGAGAGAGAGAGAGAGAGAGAGAGAGAGAGAGAGAGAGAGAGGTGACAAACCTGAACAGCTACGGAGCCCAGAGTTCACGAAGCTACTTTTGTAGGCTGCAAGGCGTCGATTAAAACGTTTACAGATACGCTGCTTGAGAATCTTTTTGGGAAACCTTGAGAGCAGACATGCCTGATTCGGGATCATAAGAAAGAGCTGGCTAACGTGTTCTTTTTTTTGCTTTCACTTTTCCAAATTGCCGGGTAGGGCCCACCACTCTGTAGCAGAGTCTGTTAGTGTTTTTTTTTTTTGTTTTTTTTTTACACAGGCAGCCTAATGTCGTATGATCCAGGCACTTCAGCCTGGTTCATATGACGGCTGCTTTTGAATTATAAAAGCCGGAAACCGAACATAAGGCTCAACAAAACGAACATATGAAAAGAGTATGCAAAAATCCTAAGTAAGTAGTGCCCGTAACAAAATCCTCCATCCTCTGTTAAACACCAAGCCCTACGTATCCGCCCTACCTCCTGCACGGCAGGGGTCTGGGCCGCCGGGCCCCCAACCGCAGACCCAGACCCCGCAAAGTACCCACCTCCTCGCGATTTAGAGTGGATCGCACCACCACCGACAGTCACCTACCAAAACTGCCAACTCCCACCATGATGGCAATTTCGCTAACCTGCGGAATACCCTACCACCCGCACGGCAGGGGCCAAAGACCCCGCAGAACCCACCCACCTCCTCGCGATTTAGGGTACACCACCCTTCTCATCTTTATTTCGCCTCGCAATGGAGTCCTTACCGCCCTCCATGATGAAGCACCCGCGAAGCGACACTCTCCAATCCCAATCAAGAAAACAGGATGTCAGAAGAAATCCCAACCCCATGCAAAACCAATCCAACACTTCTCCCCTGTGGGAAAGCCCTACCACCCGCGCGGCTAGGGTCAAATACCCTGCAAACCCACCCGCCTCCTCGCGATTTAGGGTAACCACTCCCTCAATCTGTTCCGACCGCCTATGAGGCCCCACCGCCCACCATGACAAGGTCTGTGCGGGGCAGCACTCCCAAAACGTCTCAAGGAACCATAAAAGGAACTACACCAACCTCTACAAACCGAAAAACAAAAAACGACAATCTACTATGATCCCTGATTTAAAATTAGCAAAATTCCACCAAAGGGATCGAAATTCCTTCATGCTACCAGTAGCAGAACTTCAAAAATTGAAAAAACATTTGCCTAACTCGGCTAAACAGACATACAGATCCCAGCAATTAAGAATCTAATTGTAATAAACAACGAAAGCACAATTACCGCTCAAGGGACTAAAATCAGCAAAAAAGAGAAAATACGAGAGCAAAATTAACAAATCCTAACAACAAATAGTAATTCCACCACCCCAAAATATCCAAAAAATAAAACTACACTAAAGAACAAAACTAACGAATCGCGCGCGCACCAAATTTGGAATAACGATTCCACATCCACTAAAACAACCAAAAAAATGTACGACTCTAGTAATGGAAAACAAAGACAACAAAGGTTTTCCTGTATCATGACGAGGAAAAAGCTTGCCAGTAGATGCATTCTCTGGAGATGGAATCATTGATTGGAACCGCACTGGAAGCAACCCTATCGCGCCGAAGTCGCCCAGACTTTCATAATAGCGAGGGGGACTAAGACCAGAGTCGCCCCGCGGCTTCAGCTCCATTGCAGACTCTCCACAGCTCCATATCTGAGACCAGGGGGCTATCGCCCCTGATCAAGTTTCATATATGGTATGTTGGAGGCGTGCAAACCCTGCCCCGTGTTCGACCACACTGTTGTCTCCCTCCTATCTCGAAAACACGGGGATTGCCGGTAACAACCGACCAAGGTCAGCTATGGCCGATGGCTTGGTATCGCCACCTTTAGACTACTATGATCTACTATCCCACCCCACGCCCGCGCGTGCGTTCTAACCCTACTAGCGTCTGCCCCACTCCGACAGCAAGTTCTAGCATGCAGGCAGTACTCGAATAGCGCTGCTTGCGTTAGCGATCGCCCGCTGTTCGCCGCCGCCCAGTGGGGAGGCACAGCGACTGGCCACTCCGTCTGGCCACTCCGTCTGTTAGTGTTTGCACATGAAATCCAATTTGAAATCCACCCTGCCTGTGTCACCTAATGGCGCACAGCCAGGGGAGAGGTCACACCTTACTGAACTGCAACTCGGCGGTGCGACTTTTCTGCAAAGCAGAGTTTCTTTCGACTGCATAGTAAACGTTAAAAAACGCAGTTTGAAATGCATTTAGAAACTGCTTTCGGGACTGAGCCCTAGTTACACCCTCCCCCCTAAAAAAAAGGAGGAGGGCAACAGATCCTGCGCACTACGGCAGAGGCATGCAAAATCCTTCTGTTTTTTTTTCTTTTTTTTTTTTTGTTACTAGGGTATATTCTTCTCTCAAATCTTTCATAGTCTTTCTCAAAGAAAATAAATTCAAATTCACCTTCACTACCTAGCTGCCTACCACTACTCCTAAGGCTTAGTACTTATACAGGTGACCCCTGGGAACATAGCTTTGTTGTCTCCCTCCAGCCCCCCATCAGAGGGGATGCATGTTGCGCCCYCCCCTTCCCCCCCCCCCCCACCGATGGTGGTCAAGCATGGGCTGGGGCCGCCGGTGGGGGTCCAGCTAATGCAAAGACTCAGCATTTTGCCAGTAGCTGCCTGCGCCTCCCTTTTCATCGTCCGTCCACCCCCAGGGGCTATGTCCCACTACAGACGTTTTACCACGCAGCCGCTTGGTTTCCGATCACGTGCGGCAAACGGTGACACATATTGTCCGTCGAACTTCAGGGAGCTGAACGGCGGACGAGATTTGGAGGCCCTACTTCCGATATCATTCTCTCTCCCCCAATGACAGGCAGAGGAACCATTTTTTTTCACCAATTTCTTTCATTCTTAGGCCGGCGATAGGGACGCAATATTAAGGAGGTCGTGAGGTGGGGGTGATATTGCATCGAAACGACCCTTTTCTTTTTAAGGAAAATAGGAAGAAAGGGGCCGTTCGTCATTCGAAAAACGAAATGTAAGTTGCCTCTGACTGTTCAAGGTCCGTGGATAACGGGACGTCCCACGAACTTCGGCGCATAGAGGTTTTCGTACGTATTGGGCTTGCATATAGGGTACGTGCATGGTATGGTGTCTGTTGTACTCCCGAGAAACAGACCACATACATGTTTACCGTGTTCTTTTTGAGGAGCGATTGACGTCCCTTCTTTCCCAATGAGGAAAGTCGGCAAGAGATGTGGAAACGTATGGGGTGAAGTTGCAAGTCGGCCTTTTCCATCCGGACTTGCAAGCGTAGCGCCCTCTGAAAAAAAGGGAGTTTGACGGCCTGTTTCTCACACTCCACCGTTATGTTGTCGTGCACGTCCCCATGCCGTTTGGCCTTCTGCGTTCCTCGTCCGCCATCTCCTTCCCGGTTCTTCTCCTTCGGCCAGTCATCTCACTGTTCGCTGCTTGTCCCTGAATCTCTCGGTGATCATGGCCTCTGCCAGTGATCCCGCGGGACTGTCCTGCATACAGGACTGGGGGTATACCGAGTCCCAGTACGGAACACAAGGACCAGACAATGCACCACCTGCGGCGCCTGCACCCGGACAAGCAGGAATGTACACGCAGCTTCCCTCTGCATTTAGTCAGGACTGTGGGTCCTTGAAAGGGACAGGGAGCGAAACCCAGTGGCCCTTCGAAGACGGTGTGGGTACACAAGTCCCGTCTTCACGGCCTTTGGGGACACTGGGACAGGTGGGCACGCCTGTCRGGAGTGGGGTTCCATCATYGGACCCYRCTYTGTCACAGGTTCCAGAACCGCATGATGTGACGGGTAGGGTGACACATGTCCCAGAAAGTGATTCTGGGACACCCTTGCGTGGCTTCTGTACACCGATTCAGCCCATTGGTGGTTTCTCTTTCGGGGTTTCGGGTGAAGATGAGCACAGTTTGCGCAGTTTGCGGGAGCGTCTAAGGAGGCGTGCCATTGCAATGGCGGAAGGGCACTCATCTACTCCACATTGTGCACAACATTTGTCTTTCCACTCTGATGTAGCTCCACGTGACAACTGTCGTGCTGGGTCTTCTGGTTTGTCACCCATCACTTCCGCCGACCACGTTACCAGTGCTTCTCCTACGCAGAGGGGGGGGCCTGCCACCACGCCACCGGTGTCAGACGTGGCCGGAGGAGCAGGTGGGTCCTCGTCATCTCCGGCAGGACATGGCAGCCCATATAGCCCAAGCGTGGCATCTCAGCGTCAGGTTCTATCGGAGTACTTGATAAATCGGCTAATTCGGGACATTGAGGATGGCATTTCCCCAGCTCATGATGCTGCAAAAACTGCAGCTGCGGACAATGTGGGTGGCAATGCAGCTACCCCTTCACGAACACCTCGCCAATCCGGTGATCCGACGCCTGTGAATCGCAAACCCACTCGGGCCGGTGCCCGCGGTGAATCTAGCGAGAGCCCTTCGGGTGTAGTCCGTGAGACAGTAACTTCTCCTGCTGCACGTCCCCAGGGACAGCAAGGTCGGGCATGTCCCTCTTAAAAGAACAAGGACCGTTGGGGGGAGGACGAGACTGCATGGTTGTGCCGGTTCCGCAATGAGGTCAAGTTGCTGATGATTGAGGATACAGAGGCATACGGACGGGCAGGGGTGAAGGGGAACTTCTGGAAGTTCGTGGAGCTGCAACGTCGATTTCGTACTGCGTCGAAGTTGGTATGACATCATCGACTCCGTTGAGAAGGACATGGACTCTATAAACCTAACGTATTTGAGGGACGGCGGTGACAACCCTCGGCGGCACATGGACACTGACGACATGGCCGATGCAGATGGAGAGACAGAGGGGGTGAGCGATGACCCAGGCGGCGGAAGCAGAGCTGCATCCGGTGGCTCACGATCGACAACTTTTGAACCCACGCTCGGAAAGAGGAAAAGAGGGATTTCCAATGCGCGTGAGGCTAGCGTGCAAGCCGTGACAAGCGCAATGCGTGACCACACGACTGCGCTCACACAATCCGATCGAGAGTGTGCGAAGATGCGATGTGACACCACGCATGATGTGGCAAAGCAACAGGCTGAACTGGCTACACAACTAATGCAGCAGGACGTAGCTGGGCGTGAGAGGGTGGCCACCATTGTCGGGGATAGGGTCGAGAGTGGATACAACCGCCTGGCAGATGCCATTCTCATGATGGGATCCCGAAGGAGGAGTCGTTCATCTAATGATCCCCGTTCCAGTGAGTCTGAGTAAGGCGTGCCAGCGAGTCTGTGGAAACTGATTGCAGTCTCTATGGGTCTTTCGGAGCTTTTCCACGTGCTAAGCGTTGGTCTGCTAGTCTCTCTC